AATATATAGCTTCTAAGTTTATTTGCTAGCTTTAACAAGTTTCATGTCCTAAATACATTTTAAAGGTAAGAAAGACATATTAAGCAATTTATATTTTTCAACACAAGATTTCTTGTGTTATACTTGTATTCCCCCCCCCCCCTAAAAGCATTTAAAATCATTTAGAAGGTAGATTATAGGGGGATGAACTCACCTTATGTGGGTGATTCAATTGAAGATTCGATATAGAATGATAAGTTCAACGAGTGAAGTCCTGAAGCGCAAACGATTCCTAAATGATATATAATGATACATATAGGCATGAAATTGGTGAATCTAACTACAAAGGCGATTGGGAAACAAACTAGGATGCAAGAATAACTCACCAAAGGAGTGTTAGAAGCAAGTTAGGAGGCTGAAATGGTGTTCACGGCCCAAGAACACATGAGTGTTCACGACCCATGTTGAAGGGTTCACGGCCCTATGAGTGGTTCACGGCCCAAAGATGTGAAGACCACTTGAAGTTCTTGTTGTTTGGCAAGTGTTTGAAGACCCTTTGTTGTATTCCAAGAAGATACAAAAGAAAAGGGGTGTTTAAGGGAAGAAAAGGGGTTTCTTGAATATGATACTTGAGACAGAATGGGAGGATCACGGCCAAAAGAAGAGAAATGGATGAGAAATGAATCCATCTCATATATATACGAGGTAGTTTGCAGCCGAGGAGTTCACGGCCGTGAACCAAGGGTTTATGGTCCGAAGTTCACGGCTCGGTGTTCACGGCTTCAGCGATTCATGGCTGCGAGAGTTTTGTGGTCCATGCGAGGGTTCTCGATTCCTAAGGCTTTTCCCTCCAAACTAAAACACACTTAGTTACAAGGCTTCAATACTTATAATCCAATAATCCATCTATTTTAAGATAATTGAAGGAATAAGTTTGACCAAAGTTGACTTTTATAATAATAAAATTTCCGGGTTGTGACAAGAAGTTTCAGAAACTAGAGACAAATTCCCACAACTTTCATGTTTTGTGTTTTTGCTGATTCTGTTGTTTTCATCACCAAAATGTGAGTGAAGGGCGAAGGATGTGGATTAGGCGTCTATGACGCCCTGAAGGTCGCGAAGGTCAAAACAGTCAACATCTCAGCAGATTTCGGAGCAGGAAAACGAGGAAGGCCCAGTCGACGTCTTAGGAGGCGTCTATGACGTCATCAAGGATGTCGGGGGGTTATTGAGGCATCTCGTGTTGTGACGGCGTGTTACGTAAGGTGCTCAGATTTATGAAGGACGTCCTACATGACGTCTAAGACGTCCCCTAGGACGTCGAACGTTTTAGGCCATTTTTAGTGCAATTCAAGGAGGATAGAGAGGGAATGCAAAGATGTACGAAGGACGCCCATGTGTTATACACAACGTCTAAGACATCCCCAAGGACGGCAAACGTCCCACATCGCTCAATTTTCATAAAATTTTGCCACAAATATAGATAGGGACCTATGCACTCGTTTTTAGGGTTCCCACTTCTGAAAATCGGAGTTCTTACCTGCATTTTTGAGGCTTCTAAACCCTTAGAATCATTTCAAAACACAATTTTATTCCATTTTAATCCTGATTCAAGGCGAGATCTTATTCAATTCATCATCAAACAACATTTGAAGATCATTTAACCGGTGAATCTCATCAATTCGAGCAATTTTTAGAAATGATTACTTCTTCCCTAAGGTTTATTTGTTTCATCCTTTGATAATCATTATGCTTCAATTGTTGGATGATTTTAAGTTTGTTTATGAGTTCTACTATGCATTTTATTCATTTCATCCAAGTTATTGTTTTTATGACCTCAATGGAAAGCTAACCCATTAGGTTACTTCTGGGGATGTTTAGGACTTTTGGATGAACACACTTGATTATTACTTGGTTCTAGTTAATTTCAACTGTTATTTTGGATTTCATATGATAATCTTTTGGTGATAATGATTGGAATTGGGTTGTATGAATTTGTTTGATTTCATAACTAAAATAGTGCATTTTCAATTCACCAATTGTTCCAATTTCAATAGTTTACGAACAAAGGCAATTGGTTGAATCCAACAATATTAAGCATTCAATATCACAAGTTGGAATAACACATGTGTTAATCTTTTGGTGACAATGATTGGAATTAGGTTGTATGAATTTGTTTGATTTCATAACTAAATTAGTGCATTGTCAATTCACCAATTGTTCCAAGTTCAATAGTTTAGGAACAAAGATAATTGGTTGAATCCACATGTGTTATTCCAACTTGTGATATTGAATGCTTAATATTGTAATAGGTAGTTGCAAGAGATTCTATTACCAATTCACTAATTGTTCCTAATCTAAATAGATCTAGGGAGTAAGATAAATAGTTGAATAACATATGATGTACCCAACACTATGTTTTACAAGATAATGAACCATAATGGCATTTAAGTAATTGAACTATGATTTTAGGGAAGAAAGTGTGTGAATTTGAACTGTCAGACAACTGAACCGGGAGTACCTTACTTTTCTCATTGAGAGTTTCATTTTAATTATTAAATTTCCAAGCTTGTTGGTTTACTCTTTCTCTAAATATTTTTTCGTGATAATTGTAAGTATTAGTTCTTTTTCATTGATTACTTAACACAAAGTTTAACCATGAACTCCTCGTGGATTCGACCTGACTTACCCTATCTACGTAGGTTAGTTGGTTTATTTTTTATTGAGACAACGACCTCGATCAACGGGTCGCGTGCCTAACCACGCAGGTCGCGTCCTGAGGCAACCCAAACACACCAAAAAACTCACTTTTTGAGGCTGAAACTTGCTTGGATGGTTTTGGTCTTTTAGGTAACCATTTGTAAAAAATGTAAAGGTTTCCAAGCACTACTAGAGGACGTTTTATCATGTCAAAACATTCAACTTAATTCATTAGGTCCTCAATCAAAAATGTTAATTTCATAATGCTTACAAATACTCAAATGAAAGAGTGAAGAGCTCAAATTGCTCAAAAACACTCTTTAACCAATATGACTTATTCCCAGATCATTTAATACATCATCGGGTGTTGTTAAGTAAATAAAACCATAACCAATCTCATTGTAAGTACCTAATCTAACTATGGAATCCTCAATTCCATTTCATGTTCCCAAATTACCCTTAGGCCAAAACAATCCCTAAAGCTAGAACTTCACTAGCATTCCTTCATGTTAATGTTCCAATAACATATTAGAGTGTTAATTTGTGTTCATGAATATCATTGACTTCTTAGATGTCAATCATTATGTATTTATCAACAGATTTTCCAAAATGCCCTTATGGCTAAATATTCCATAAATGCAACTAAAAATCATTTAAATCTTTATGTTTTTGCATTCAAATCATTCTAACAGTATCAACTCATGTTTATAAGTATCATATACTCATCAAATGCTCACAAAAAAAGGATTTCATTGTTTTCATCACAATATCCCCAAAATCACCTAAAATCTATGTTTATGCAACATTTTACCATCATGGATGTGTTTGAGCATTTCAATTGGGTTTATCGTTGTCAAACATCATCCAGACCATTGAATCCATCATAATTTCACATTCAAACACAAAATCTCTTAATTTGGGATTCTAGGGTTCTTGGTGATCTTTTTACCTAAATCATCAAAACCATCAATGAAATGATTGGTTTAAGACTGGAACCATCAAAACTACTCAAGGAAGGTTAGAAAACCAAACTCTAATCATTAATTGAAGCCAAATTCGACATTAGGGTTCAACCCCAATCATAATCTCAAAAATAGAGTTAGAGGAGGAGAAGTTATACTTAGAAAGCTTTTGATTCCTCTGCCTTTTGCTTGGATGATCAAATCTCCACTTGAATCAAACTCTAGAATCCAAAGAGATGAAAAGCATCATTAGAGAGGAATGGTAGAGGTCAATCTTGCTCTATCTCCATATGATGAGAATAGGTGCATCTTATTTCCCAAAATATACCTTTTGGTTCCCTTAGTTTGCTCATTTTGGCCAAAACCCACTTAATCTCAATGTTTGTGATTTCAACTTAAGTTTTGACATAAGAAGCCCTTCTTCATCCATTAAATAACTTTTATAGTCCCTTCCATTAATTGAGTCAACCCTTTGGTCAAACTCACTTTGCCAACTTGACACTTTTGGCCATTGGACTTGGAAGTGTTGTTATTTTCACTTTTAGCTTTCTAAATTTCATATCAACTAATGATATGATTATCCCATAATGATTTATTTAAATAAATCATTAACTATTTATTTACTTTATTAACTTAATAATATAGTCTTGAATTTAGAATGTTACAAGTTTTACAACTTATTTAATGTTATGAACCTATGTCTAAGTTGTTACAAGTTGTTTATGTTACGAGCCTATGACACTTTCATGTTATGAAATTGTGTTTTTACATGTTATTTAATAATATCTTCAAGTTATATAGTATGTCTATTTCTACGTTTTTTAATATTAATGATATGTTTGTGTTTTACAAGTTAGATAATGTTATGAACTAAAACTGGAAGAAGAAAAATCGGATTAAAAAGAAAAAAAAATTAATAGAAAAAAACCATATGCACCAAACCAAAAAAAAAAAAATAATAATAAATAAATAAATAAAAAATCTAACCATAAAAACAAGTCCATGATTGGACCGCAAAAGACTACCCAATATAGCATATCATTCCAAGACCGGTGCTAAAGATCAACCCAACATTAATACGGAAAGGGCTATTGAGGCCCAATATACGATTTCTTCACAAATGAGCCTTCAAAGCCAATGGGCCTGTAGGTCAAACTATATATTATTGATCACAGTAGCTTCCTAACCACGTGTATGTCTTCCATTCGTCCTTCAACGACAATCACATGACAACCCGTCAGTGTATACTTTCTTTTTGGAGTTTACCATTATGCCCCCAAAGCCAAACACATCAAAAGGGTATTTGCGGAATCATATAAATACAACAAACCCCACGTCCCAATATCCTTGCATCACATCTTCACCGGCTTCACATACCTCCCATCTCCCCTCCCTCTTTATTCACAAAATCTCTCTCCATAGAAAGCTATAAAATCATCTGTTCATATAAAAGATCGGTTTTTTCAAATTTTCACCGCGATTTGTCCAACCCCTTTTGTCAAATCTCACCAATTTTGTCTCATATCTTCGTTTTGATTCAGCTAAAGCTTCAAAAGATTGAAGAAACCCTAATTGAAATTTCGCATTGTAAAGGTCTGATTAGTACCCGTTCTTCAGAATTTTTGCTTTTGGTTATGAGATCCAAGTTTTCTACCCGTATTTACTTGATCTGTACATGGATGATGAGTTGATTATATAGCTCGTGAAACTATTTTTCGAAGTTCTAGAAACCTAACTTTTGAATCGATTTCATAGGAGATATTCTTAGGTTGATTTTGTTTTTGGTTCAGGATCTAAGTAGCGATTTGTGATAAATCGAGTAATGGCGGATCAAGTAATGGAGGGTAGTCAACCAGTTGATCTCACAAAGCATCCATCTGGAATTGTTCCTACTCTTCAGTAAGTCTAGTTATGATTCATCTCTATGTGTATTCTTCATTGTTATAATGATCAGGTAATCCAGTAGGTGTGATTTGTGCAGAATTTTCAACCTTTTTGGTCGTATTGATTTGCTAACACGCACAGTTTGGTGTTTAAATGTGTTGAAAAAAAAAGATGATCAATTGTGGGTGATTTAATGGATGTCAATGTGTATGCAGTTTGCTAGTTGAATTGATTCTTTTTCCAAGTGTGGCTACTTATGGAAGTTGAATTAGTGTATGTAATATGTATATATGTTCTTCAAGTTAAATAAAGTTAAATAGTTAACTCATAAATTGAAATACGTACTAACAATTTGTTTATGATTTAACAGAAGGAATTGCTAACATAATACCCGAAATGCACTTTGATCAATAAGTTATATTCTCTCACTAATTGACCCCCCATCTACTACCAAATTCAACAAAACTAAAACATATTCAAACAAAAATAAACATACAAACTAAAAAAACAAGAAATTTTAGCCATTTCCCCCTCTTTACATACTTTTTAAAACTGTTCTTCTCTGTAGTTTAACTTGCAACTCAGTCCTTGAACTTTTCACTTTCCAGACATACCCCCACAACTTTCATTAATTACAACTTATAAATCCTTCTAACAAGAGTAGACTTTTACCCGTTAATTATAACTTCAAAAATCAATAACTTTTAAGATTTAAATTGATAAATAGTTAAATACCAAATAGCTAATACAACATTTGGAACTAACGACTGCATTTCTTTCCATGCATACAATAATCAAAATGACAAAAATCTCCTTCTTGAGCAATCATATAAGCTAATCAGAAGGTCATATCTGTAAATTTAGGAACATTGTTTCTACAGTCAATCTGGATTGCAAACTAGATCTTAAAGCTATTGCACTACAAGCTCGTAATGCTGAATATAACCCCAAGGTACTCTTGTAATCATTCAGTTATGGTTTTTATAATTTTTATTCAAGTGAATTTACAGATTCTTGATCATAGAAAATGTTAATTTCTTATCACATTTTTTTTGTTAATGTTAAGCGTTTTGCTGCTGTGATCATGAGGATAAGAGAACCAAAAACAACAGCCCTAATTTTTGCTTCTGGAAAGATGGTAACTTTTGCATTTTTTAACTTTTTTGGGTTCAAAACATTATGTAGAATCAGATTTACTTATTTATTTTTATGAAGAACATAAAAAAAATATAATGTTTTAATGGTGATCGTATCAGGTTTGTACAGGAGCCAAGAGTGAACAACAATCAAAACTTGCAGCAAGGAAGGTATTGTTATTTTATGTAGTGATAAAGTCATAAAATAGCAATGTACTTTTCAATCCTTTTTTTTTTTTTTTTTTTTTTTTAAATCTATGATGCATATGTTATTTTCTTTAGTATGCTCGGATTATTCAAAAACTCGGGTTCCCGGCAAAATTCAAGGTATTCTTTTTATTTTTCTTATTATTTGTAAATTTGGTCTATCTATCTGTGTCTTTTTTTGATATATTTAACTTCTTTATTTTGCTTTTTAGGACTTTAAGATACAAAATATTGTGGGGTCATGTGATGTCAAATTTCCAATTAGACTTGAAGGTCTTGCATACTCTCATGGTGCCTTTTCAAGTGTAAGTTTATAAAAAGATACAAAAAATAACACTTAAAAGACATAAATGCCCTTTTCATCCTCATCATTGAAAATAGCCCTAGAAAGCTTGTCCAGTCTTGTTTGTATGTTGTTTTTAACAATTTTTTAATTTTTTTTTGTTTTCTCATACAGTATGAACCAGAATTATTCCCGGGATTAATTTACAGGATGAAACAACCCAAAATTGTTCTGCTTATTTTTGTTTCAGGGAAAATTGTTCTAACAGGAGCTAAGGTATTTTGATGGTTAATTTCTGTAAGTTATTTTAAAAAAAAAAATGTTTTTATACCTTGTTTGTTATGCAATTTCAGGTTAGAGATGAGACTTATACTGCATTCGAGAATATATATCCAGTTTTAACTGAATTCAGGAAGAATCAGCAGTGGTATGATATATGATATAACTTATTATTTTGACATTTACGTATTTACCCCTGAAGGGTCTCTCACATTTTCGAGATTCAAATACAAAATTAGTAGCAAAATTACAAGAATACCCGAATATGAGATTATGGAAAAAACCGATTTACGTATACAAAAAACTAGCTGTTATTGAGCTGTTGGGAGGGGCATCTATGTCCTTTTGCATTTTGAAATACGTCAAGAAAGAGAAGGGTCAATTGACATTGACTTTGACTTTTAGGGTATTAGTTAAGTAACAATGATTTTATTTTTTGGTGCAGAATTATATGTGGGATATATGGTTTGATGGCATGAAGTTATGGGTGAGCTCAAGTTGACTTCTGGGAGTTTTGACCTTAACTTTGACTTTGACTTATGAAAGAAACATGTATTGTAAATATATGGTGGAAATGAAAAATGGGCATATTTGTCAGCTTAGTCTCAATCTGTTATTCTAAGTTGTAATGATTTTGATTTCAAGTTTTTATATCCAAAACAGGGCTCTTATATATTGATCTTCTGAGTTTGATTAAATTGTATAAGGTTATTTTATAATTTATGTAATAAAAGTGGTAATTTAAATATAATATTCCACATTTTACATATATAACTTGGAAACATGGTTACTTGTGTCAATTCTATAATTTGTAAAACGATTGAAACATTTTTTTTGTATAAATTAGTAAAAATAGTGCATTTTTTGCAAAAAATTGAACCTTCCATGAGTTTTATTGGCAATTCTATAATGATTAATTTGTCAAGTTATGAAAATTGACATATAACAATGGTTTTCAAGTGGTTGTTGTGAAAACAAATATACATGTTTGTATATTTCCACATGGCTACATGAATTTTATAAAACTTTCATAAGGCTACATAAAATTTAAATGGTATATATAACATTTTATAGCATGTTCAACATTTCAATAACATATATGTTTTTAGAAACAATTTGCATAAAAACCAAATTTTGTGTGCACCCAATTTAAGAAATCAAAATGAACTCACCTTACTCTAGATGAAAGTCCCAAGGATAATCAACACGAAGAAGCTTTGTCACCTATATACATTAATAATTTTTGTTGGTAGAATTTCTCATAAAAAATAACCAATAAACAACATATATATCGCTACAATATGCTTTACAAATAAAACCTCAAGTTTATGCCACTAGAAATATTTATTTCATCATAAACATGCTTCAAAATAACTTGTTAACATGAGCAACATCACAAAAACGTTTGCAATAACATTCTTTTGTTAAAACACATAACAACACTAATATTGACTTTGTCTGAATTCCCTCTATAAGATATATATTCCTAGAAGATCATTGTTATCGTGCTAACTTTCAATTAGGGCCACCACTAATCCATGGGAACCCCACATTAGGGTATTCAAGTATTCAACAATGAATATTAAAATAACTAAGAAGAAACATATAACTTAAAGAAAAATGTGTCAAAAGTTACCCAAAATTCGTTATTTTAACGAAAGTAAATTTAACTTGAATGCCATGCTTTTACACAATCTGTTTGCTCTCGTTTTAAAAATTAACATAGACGTTTTGATCGGTGTGACTATTGCATCAAATTATATCATCGCTTGTGTAAAATTTGGCAGCTTTCAACTAACCATGATCACAAATTTATTAACAAAACCAATTCCAATCTATTATCATGGTTTTTCACCCATTTTTCATGAGTTATTAAATCATTTAAACTACTATGCTATAAAATTAATCCAAATGGTTTTTTATATGTTTTGATTTTATTAAGGGAAAATGACTTAATGGGCAATATAGTTTTTAACTTATATACATTTAGTTATTGATGTTTTTTGTCCATATTTGATCATTTAATTTGTTTTTTTCGTATACATTCAATCCTTATAATTCCTTATAACCGACTATTCCAGGTTAAACTGAAAAAAATGACTTAATATGATAATATAATTCTCTGTTTGTATACATTTAGTCCTTAATGTTTTTTTGTTACAAAATAAATCATTGTTTTTGTACACATTCAGTCCTTATGATTGGTTTCTTTAGATGTTACTCACGACATCCTACATGAGACAATCATTAATGAGGTGTTCTCATACGTGAAACGTATGAAAACCCTTCATTAATGAGTGTCATACTTGGTTCTGTTTGACATTTTCTTTATCAACCCATTGCCAAAATTTGCACTTTTTACCTGGTTTCTCCGTTAAATAAAAAAAAGGTAAGAAAGAATGTCAATTTGAAAAGAACAAAAACCTATTTGCAGAAAAATAGTCAAAATCGACATACCAAGGAATTACGGAGGAAGCAATCACAAAGAATCTCGATGTCTACTATAGAGATAGATGAAACCGAAGTTGAAGACATCGTTTGGTTAGAGAAAACTAGGGCAGCGACATCATTTGATTGATTCATGAATTAGGTTATGATATACGTGAGGGACGAGCCGTATATGAGAACACTAATGATTGTCTTGCATAGGATGTCATGAGCAAAACCTGAAGAAACCGATTATAAAAACTAAATGTGTACAAAAACAACAAGGACTTATTTTTCAACAAAAAACATTAAAGACTAAATATGTACAAACTGATAACTATATTACCATATTAAGTCATTTTTTCTGGCTTAACCTGGAGTAGCCAGTTATAAAAACTGAATGTGTATAAAAAACAAGTTAAATATTCAAATATATACAAAAAAACACTAGTGACTAAATGTGTAAAAAATCAAAACTTTATTACCCTATTAAATAATTTTCCTTTTTATTAAAGTTATAACATTGATCCCATATCGTACAATGATATTTACCTCCAAAAGATTTATATTTTTATGGAAACCATAGATTTTAAAAGAAACAATAATTTAAAGTCAATTCAAATTCAAAGTTTTGACTTAGATGACCACGAAAGTCAAGAAAGTATCTTGATTTAGCCACTTAAGTTTTGATCAGGCCAATCAACCTAATTTTTTTTCGATTTAGCCATAAAGACTAGCTATAACAGGTTTGTAGGTTGTCATGCATGTCATTGCGATTGGTGTGGCGTCTATATGGATTAAAATAAATCATACTTCAATTTCTCAATTTTGAAGAACCTCTCTCTTACTTGGCCCACCTTCTTCCTCTTCGTCGTTCCTAGGCAACCTAAGTCTGATTAACCCTTTCTCACTATATCTTAAAATTCTCTTATAATTCAAAACGTTTTCAAATTCGCCTCTCTACAAATATGATGCCACCATGAAATTATTTTTTTTGGAAACCTGTAAGTAATTAAAAAAAAAAGACAAATAAGCCATTGTGAGAAGGTTGTTAGAGTTTGGGTCTTAAGAATATCAATATTAATTGGGAAATTCCTAGGATCGTGATTGCATTTACTTTTCAAAATCTGTGATTTCGACCCTATAGCTCGGGTTATCACGAAATCAGATTTAGGATAATCCAAGAATAACAATTTAGAAGTCAAACCACTTCAAATCTGAAACAAATAAAATACCTTGTTATGTGTTTGATGAGATAGAGAGAATCAGATGATTGATTTTTGAGCATATGGAATTCAACACTTTTCTGGAACATTTCCAAGTTCTTATACATTAGAGAGAAGTGGTTAATGGTAGTTATCTTCATTTTTGGCGCCAACCGGGAGTCGTATTTCATTTTTGGCGCCAACCCGGAGGCGTAGGTTACAAAGGGGTAAAATCGAACAAAATCATGAATTCGATAGCTGATTGAACTTGATCAGAACTTAAGTGGCTAAATCGGAACATTTATGTGACATTGATGATTATTTAAGCCAAAAGTCCCTTAATTTCCGTTTAAACAATATGATATGATTATTGTAGCGAATTGTGTTATAACCCAATTTTGTCTTCTCTATAAAAAAAATAATCTTATGATAGATAATTATATGAAGAACATTTTTCCAAATTGAATTGTTTATTTTAATTACGATTCTATATTCAAAATTTATCCATATTTGCAATTTGTTTTTCAATGATTTTTTGTAAATATAAACACGCTTATTACACGTGAATGAAACATGATTGAAGGATCTTGACCATCGGTGTCCAAAGGAGACAGAGACACGGTTAAGCAAGGCCAATCATCAATCATGTAGTTATTGTGGGTTTTTTTTTTAAAAATAGTCCTTCTACTTCGAGTGGATCTTCATTTCTTGCTAATTTTCGTTTAATTTTGCATTATGGTCGTCAAAAACTTTTTCAACAAATGTCTATGTTTCTTTGTTCGCTTGTGACCTTTAACAATAAATCGATAATAAAATTTAAAAAAGATGTTAAAGGAACAACAAATACTATCTATTATAAGAGAATCATATATAAAATCTAAAATATATATAAATACTTTCTTCAAATTAATAATTTCTATATCAACACCCCCAATTATTATATATATTCAACATGTTAAAATTTGAAAAAAAAAAAAAAAAACTGGTATACAGTAGCCGTAACAACTGACTTAATCTCAAGCAATCAATGCAAAATTTAATCTCCAACAATTAATGCAAAATAGGGTAATGGACTAAAAGCTGAGAAAGTTTTTATGTCAAACAATTAATGCAAAGTTTTCAAAGTCAAGGACATAAAATGAATGTTGGAAATAACTAAAGGGGCATTCGTGTTGTATACTATACTTTTATGAACAAAAAAGCGAATCATGTCGGAGCTTATTGAACGATTTCTCGCCACTGATCCATCAAGTTTTCAATATTTACAGATTGATTGATTCCTCTTCTTTTGTCATTCGATAAATCGTAAGTTCCATTGTTCTAAATAGATGTATTTTGAGTTTATCTTTGTGATTCTATCTGCGATTTGTTGTTGATTTTTGTTATCGATTAAGAACCTAGCTTATCTTCGTGTTGCTTTTTATTCGTTTGAATACACGCTTATAACAATGATTTGAGTTACTTCATGTTTATCTTTCATCGTTTATCAGTTATTCTATTGCTAGATCTTAATCCAACCATCTTTAAACAAGAGCTACATTTCGAATTTGAACAGAATGTAATTGGTTGCTTACCAAATTATTATGAAATCTCTAAGCCATTTTGAAATCTCATCGAACTCTATACCAGATGCTACGTTCATAGCATTTTTTGAATTTGATAAGTACTATACTCGGCTCCAAAGTTTGATATTTTTTAGGGAGTATTTATCTAATTATCTCTTAGGCAATGTTCATATTGCACAAAGAACACAAACTACTCCAAAGTTTGATAACATCATTTTTTTTTTCTTTCTTTTTAGCAGCTTTACAAGAGTTTTGATCGCTGAAATATGGTGAAAGACACAGAATATTACGACATCTTGGGAGTCAGTACTGATGCATCTGCATCCGATATTAAAAAGGCCTACTATGTCAAAGTATGTTTACTTCTTATCTCTTCCTCAAACAAAATGCCAAACATCATAAAGAAGATTTGTAGCTTGTAATTCACACTACAAATCACACAGTGATTATTTGTGATCTATTGATTCTTAAAACTTTGTTCCACCAAGATCTATGTCACATTTCACTTATGAGTTATGATATAGTGATATGAAATTATGATCCATCTATTGGGGAAACATGTAACATTCCTACTCCTTCTGTTATGCTTAGTTGTTAGTGATAGATGTGGAAATTATAAATTAAGAACCTTTTTCTCTTATTTGACTATATAATAATGCTTCATAATGTTATCTTCAAGGCAAGGAAAGTTCACCCTGATAAAAATCCTGGGGACCCGAAAGCTGCCCAAAATTTTCAGGTTTTGATTCTGTCCTTAATCATCCAAATTTTCTCAATTGTGAATCTTGAGTATCAATCAAAGACATTTATTTATATTTTGTTATGCACAAAGGTGCTTGGAGAGGCGTATCAGGTTCTAAGTGATCCTGAAAAGCGTGAAGCATATGATAAAAATGGAAAAGCAGGAGTACCAGAGTAAGTATGAATGATGCATTAGTTTCCTTTAACTAAGATTTGTGTTTCTTTTATATTTAATAAAAAGTTTAAAGCTAACTTTTTATTTATAATTTCTTTCAGTGATTCAATGGTGGATCCTGCAGCTGTTTTTGGCATGCTATTTGGTAGTGATTTATTTGAGGATTATATTGGGCAACTTTACATGGCTGCTATACAGTCAGTAGAACTTGAAGAGGAAGGACAGGTGCCTGAAATCCGCAAAATGAAAGTCCAAGAAAGGATGAGGGTATTCATTTTTTTACTCCAATTTCCAAATTCATAATAAATTACCTACATTTTTTTTTATTAAACTCACTTTTATTGTTTCTTTTTTTAGGAATTTCAAAAGGAGAGGGAAACCAAACTCATAACAATTCTCAAGAATCGCCTTCGGCCATTTGTTGAAGGACAAACAACAGAATTTGTTAATTGGGCAACAAAAGAAGCTCATCAGCTCTCAAAAGCTGGTATTTTTTTCTTACAAATACACATTTATGCAAAAAAAAAAATGTTTACTTTTGTTTAGATGATATATGCAAACCATGTTATATTCTAGGACCAAAATAAGCAACATTCCAAAGAACATGCCAACTTTGTAACTCTTCATTGTTCCAGAACATCACCTGTCAAAATTCGAAATTCCTAAATCACCCTTCTATATATTCCTCTAAAAGAGCTGTTTTGTTACCTTTTTTTTGCTTTAATGATCAAGGTTTGTGATAAAATTTCAGCTTTTGGTGAGGCTATGTTACATACAATTGGCTACATATACACAAGACAAGCTGCAAGAGAACTTGGAAAAGATAAACGTTATATGAAGGTCCCATTTATAGCTGAATGGGTGAGAGACAAAGGACACCAAATGAAATCACAAGTTTCAGCCGCTTCAGGTCCAATCATTTAATTTAAAATCATCATTATTAAAATTTAAAAAATAAATAACATTTAAATTTAATATAGTAAGTGTTTGTTTTGTGTGTATATAGGTGCTGTGTCTTTGATACAAATACAAGAAGACCTTAAGAAATTGAACACTTCAGAAGGAAAAGAACAACAGATAATGAAAGCTTTTGAAGAGAAAAAAGATCAAATGGTTAATTCCTTGTGGCAGATCAATGTTGTTGATATTGAAACAACATTATCCCGTGTCTGCCAAGCGGTAAATTCAATTCTGTCCTGTCCTGTCTTGTCCTGTACTGTCCTGTCCTGTACTGTACTGTTCTGTCCTGACCTGATTTTCTGTATTTTTGTTGTTAGGTGTTGAAAGACCCAACGGTTTCGAAAGATGAGGTGAAGCGACGTGCAATTGGAATGAAGAAGCTTGGAACAATATTGCAAGTAAGTTTTTGTAGTATTAATTTAATAATATATAGGAATAAAGTGAGATTGCAAATTGTGTGGTGTTATTATTATTTTTCAGGCTAAATAAAAATGGAAGCAATCAAGATAGAGACATATAAAATGGCATTAATACAAGTAAACAATTTCAATTTGTCTTGTGACTTGTCAGGGAGCCAAGACAAATTATCGCAGGGATAATAGTTTGAGACAGGAAGGCGTCCAAGTCCAACCACAGTCTGCTTCTTCATCCAAGTAGCATGCAATGCTCGTGCTTCCATGTCATCATCACGTATTCAATATTTTTATGTCAATTATTGTAGTGAAATACTGTATAAATTTGCATCATAATTCAAGTTTGTAATACTTTCCGGATGTATTTTATAAGATGAACGTTCAGAAGGATTTTATTATAAGTTTCTAATTAAATAAGGCATCTGGTTATCGAAAGTTAAAGTTTGTCTTTAAGTAATCGAATCTCTTGTTTGAATATAAATGTATGACATAGGTTTATTATATAAATGTTGACTATGAAATTACATTTAGTGTTGATCAACTACGAAACTACAAAGACAATAAACATAAATCTAAAAATTGTTCATTAAAATGAAAGCTTTTACAAGCGCGTAAACAAATAATATATAATTAGCAAAACAAACTATATATATTAACATTTTTTTGTCCATTATAGCAACATACATTTTTTTCTACCAATATAAGGAATATATTTATATTTTTATTCATAATAACAACATATTATTACTTTTACCCATAATATAGCAAATATAGCAATGTACTTTACTTTTTCTTTTACATAATATACTTATTATCCATTATGTCAATGCACGTTACTTTAAATATCCATAATAACAACATACATGATTTTTTTTATCCATATTAGCAATTTAATTCTTATTAATTACCAATATAGACAATTTACTTCAATCTTTTACCCATAATAACAACATACATTAACTATTATCTATCATAGCAATATACTTATACTTTTTTTATACGTAATACCAACATGTTTTTTTTATGCATAATAACAAAAAAAAAAAAATCAGGTTTGTAATATTTTCAGATTTTTTAAAGATTGTATTTCTAAAATAACATCCAAAGACTTTTATTAGTAGTTTATAATAAAAAAAAGGGACATGGTTATTGAAACTCCGGTTTGAATATAAATTTATAACATAAATTTTCTTAGGCAAATTATTTAGGCTGTAAATATGTGGACGTGTTGACCCATCAACATATTCTTTTCTCCATATTATTAGTTGTGTATCTGCACGCACAATGCGACATAATATAATGGTTTATGGTAAAAAAAAATTATAGAATAAGTTGTATATGAATTTCATTTGTATCTTATTTGGCTCAAACATGTACTGTAACTTGTAATTTCTTAACAGAGTGGGTGCATTGCACCAAATTTCACTACATCCCTGTATGTAAATGAGACCAGTGTACTGTGTACGTGTATTAGCTGCAAGGTGTTCCCAGATGAAGCTTGCGCTTAGCAACACAAACTGTTGGTCATGGTCTTGCACTTTAGTAAAAGTTTACATATTGGATCAAAGGTAGCTAGCCCAAAGATCATTTGGAAAAACTTAAGGGAAAGCTAGCCGATGATTTTATAGATAAGGTTATTGCAAACGTGGATATTGGAGCTAGTTCTTTGAGAAATGAAGAACTGTTGTGGAATAACCATCAAAGAGGTGGGAAAAAACCTTGGGGATATCAACAAGGAAGACCAAGGAACATAGAGAATCGTGGTGGTTGGAGTGAAGAAGTACAAGATAAGTTCAAGGAAAAACAAGTTTGCTTTAAGGAGTTTCTAATGTGCAGAAAGGAAGGGGAAAGATTTAGGTCAAACCAAAGATATAAGGAGACCAAACGTGAAGCAAAGAAAACAGTGGCTAAAGACAAGGCTACAACATACAAAGAGATATACAAGAGTTTGGACTTAGAGAAAATTGCATCTACAAGCTCGCCAAATCTAGAGAGAAAAGGAAAAGAGACATAGGGAGTGTAAAGTACATTAATGACGACAACGACCGGGTTTTAGTAAAAGAGGAGGATGTTAAGAGGATATAGGCTAGTTACTTTTGTTCCTTATTTAATGACCTCACCTTACTAGTTAGAGATAGGATTGATGAAGACATTGATGAGAAACATCAGATGGCCAACGATTGTTCCTTCATGAAGATCAAGTGTGAGGAAGTGAATAAGGCATTAATAAGGATGGGAAGAGACAAAGTTGTTGGTCCATACCAAGTCCACGCTTCTCGAGTTAGGTGCTCTAACTGCTTCCTCAACTTTCACCTATCGTAGGAGTATTGATAGATTTTACATTGTCTTCATTTGAGATTTCATTGAACTCAATTTGATCTTTTTTTTCTGGTTGTTTTTGTAACGTCGCAAAATTTTCAATAAAATTTTTCATTTTAAAACATCGAGTCATACAAACATTGGTTCCAAATCCAATCGGTATCAATTGTATTTTCAAACATCAGAGTAAATCAAAAGTAATCAATACGAAAAAGCCTTGGGGATGCTGTGCAATCAAGTCTGGCCATTCTCTCAGGAATTGGAAGTACTTGAAAAATGTTTAAATCACAAACCGTAAGCACAAAACTTAGTGAGTTCCTCAAAATATTGCATACCAAACATATCAATGGGCCCAACCCTTGCATTGAGCCCAACTGATATTGGCATATTTAATAATATAATTCATGCATTATCTTAATATTTTATGTTGCATTTGTTTCAAATATTGAACAAAAGGTACTTAATTAGCTTAAAATTTCTTTTGCAGCAATAAAGACATGCTCGAAAGGAAAAGTAAGCGAAATTGGCAATTGGAAGCTTGGATCTTGGATTTTGAAGAAAAAGAAGAAATTAGAGAAGAACACGACATGTTATCCTTAAACACGGCGTGTTGAAATAGAAAATCTCGATGAAATAATGCATGGCCGTACACATGTTTTTAATGAAGAACACGACGTGTTGGGTCCATGAACACGCCGTGTTACACCGTTTTTCAGATTCTATTTAAGGTTCGTTTCTGTTAGAAAACCTAACGGATGCTAGAAGTTTTTAGCGACTTTTGGAGGCCAGAGACATCCCTAGGAGCTGTGGATTACAGAATTCGACTAGAAGCTTGTTTTTGAAGAGATCTAAGGCAAAATCACATCTATTTTACTTAATTCCTTTGTTTACATTATGTTTTCAATGTTGAATTTTGTTTTTATCATTGTTATCGCTGAAGTCATGGTCTAAAAACCCTACTTTCGTTTAGAGTAGAGGATCTTATGACTATGTGTTGATTTTGTGGTTTGGATTATGTTGATTTGATTATTTATCATGCTAAGTTTGTTAAAAGAACATTATGTGTTAATGATAATTATTTTCTGTTGATTTAATAATTTTATTGAGATTGCATGAACATCTTTCTTGATTGCTTGCCTCTTATGATTTTGTGACCATCAAGATTGTAAGCCTAGTGTTGTGAACATAACCTAGGGTTAACTAGAAAATAAGTAAATTAATGTGTGATCTATATATGATGACCAACCATATATAAGTTAATTGAACCAACCAATTTAATTAACCACTATTACAAGTCTTGCATGATTCGAACTTAACACTAGGAAACTTGTTAGTTTAATCAACTGATCACTGCTTGAATTGACTTGTTTGCTAAAGGATTAGTAATAGTGAACATGAACCTAATCACATTAGAAATAGGTAATTGGTGATACATTAATCCATTGCACTTTCCACGAAATCAACCATAAGAGTAAGTGAATCGAATCTAAACGGAAGTCTCTTTAACATTCTTGATTCTATCGTCTTTTGTTCTTCTTTTAGTCGTTAATTGTTTCTTTGCTAAGTGTTTAAGTAATTGTGTAAGTTTCTAGTCTTGGAAAACTAGAGAAAAAACCTCCTTCTTAATATTTGTCTTAATTAGTTAACATTAGTAATAGTTTTAATTGTTTACAGTTCCCTGTGTTCGATACCTTACTTACATGCACTAAACTACTATTCGATTAGGTACACTGCCTATCGTGTGTTGATTTTTGTTTAAGTTAGTTAGGATTAAAACTAGTATATTTCACATGTATAAAGTTTATGGCACCGTTGTCGGGGAACGGTTCTAAATAGTTAATTTTATTAGCTAATTGTTATCGAACCTTTGTGTGAAATTTATCTCTCATAAAGTTACAAGTTTTTCTGTTTTAAATTTCTTTTCTGTTTATTTTGTTTTCGCATTGAACACGCCGTGTTTCTCGTGTTTCCAGTTTTCATTTTCCTTCGTTTTTGTTCGTTTTACGCGTAATTTTTTGTTTTGTTTCAGGTAGTTCATGACCGGAGCTCCAAATCTCCAGGAGTACCACCGTTGGAAGATTCATAATCAACTTTTTGCAAAAAGAAAGACAAAGCAATCGGGGAATCAAGCAGTTTCGAAAGCATTAAGCATGTCACACCCCAAAACCAAGAACGGCGGAAACGTTCAGGGGTGGAGGACGTCATGTAAAGTATCATAACAGTGCAAAGTAGTAAACAAGCAACAACATCATCCATTGCATTAAAAGTAAAGTTTTAATACATGAGTGTTCTTTCATAGTAATAAGACACCAAAATATGAAATCAAAATAAAAGACGAGTCTTGTCTGTGCTCCGTCTTCTCAAAACCTGGTCATCGTATCTGTCTACTGGTGACCTGAGAATACAAGTTATTTTGAAAGCGTAGATCAGCATAAAGCTGGTGAATTCATAAGTATTTTAGTGTCATTGATTTGAAAAGCTGTTATGAAAGACTTGTAAATGTTTAATGAAACATTTAGTATAAGTGTGAAAACCCTAGAAAATCCCATATTTCCTACTAGTAAAAAAAGTAGTCTTCTACCAAGACCCGAATGCTTTGAAGGTTTGCATTTCTGTATCAATGAAGGTTTTTCCCATGTGCAACTATTATTATAAATATATAGTCTACCTCATCGGTTATGTGAATGTGTCACAAAATAAAAGTAATAGGGAAAATTATATAATCATTGAAATCGTATCCTTTTGCCTTAGGATAATCACGGCGTGGAAACTCGCCGAACAGTACAACCGAGAACATCCGTCGATGAACAAGTCCCGTTGTAGCTAGCAGCCAGGTGTAGGATGGTCAGTCCCGTATAGTATATATAGTATCTCTCTCTGTATAGTATATAGTATTTCTCTCTGTATAACAAGTAATAGCATCTCTTCATATAGTATTTAGTATATTTGTATAGACTCATGAATGAACTGACTCTTGTGTAATTCCTTGTACTAGGAATAATATTTTGTACCTCCTAAACTATACCTATAATAGTTTACTAGAATGTAGATTGAATGTCCAAGTAGGTTTATACACCCTTGCTACACAAG